CTTAAGTCTCGAGTGTAGATTAATCTCACAGCTAACCGGAAATAAAAGGCAGGTCATACTTAGATTTATATTTGTATTCTATTAGCAATGATATCGATACATCTTAATGACTAATACTCGTGGTATTTGGAACTTTCTAGACTAATTTTTTAGTCCGTCATGATTAACATTAATTTCCCACTGCAATACCTACTTTCATTCTTTGTGCTCCTAGTTCGTAACGCCAATGCAGAGCCACATACCGTCATTGATGCCAATACTTATGTCTCAATGGAGGCAATGGTATCTAAAGATTGCGATGACGCTACCTGTCCGCAGCATTACCCTTCGGGTCCATCTTCCGGTCCCTCAGTGCTAAGAGATCCCGATCTTCGGCCTCTAATTAAAATGTCGGTCAACCTGATTCGCACATACAAGAATATTAACGAGGTTTGTTTAGTGATTTTAATTATCTATCTGATGCCGGCGTCCTTTGTCTTAATTTTATTTGTTCAGCTAGCTCCAGAAAATTTGAAAGAGTGGGATCTAGAAATACTTTTATTATTTATCCGAATGAGAATGGGAATAGGCTATCTCCGGAGTGTTTAAAATATCCCTCAATCGAATGAAGATCTCTATCTTAAAACTTTTTCAAGAAACCAAATTTTCTTAAATTCCTATACAGAATATGTATATTTGGAGCAAAACCTCAATAAGTTTGAAGGGGATCTAATGAAATCTAAGCTATTATTTGAAATATTGCCTTTGCACCAAGGATTACCGAGGTTTACAGTTTCATTTAAATTTTAGAATATAAGTTGATCAATAAAATTCCCTCATATGAAGTTATGAAGACCAACATGGTGTGGCCTTTTGTATGGCCGCGGTCTCCTTTCGTTATATTGTAGTAGTTTGACTTTGTTTTCGCAACATGGTCATATTGACAGGAAGACATAAAGGAATGCGTCTAGTCCGGAGTCCATAGTATGCTTGATAATTTTCAGTCGAACCGTGGACTTGGTACATTCCTAGACGTTTCGCCGGTATCGTCAATACTCATTGCCATTCTTGACGCCACTCCTTGACACTAAAACTTATCAAGGAGACAAGTGAAGTCGATACTTTGACCAATTGTCTGCTAAACGGTTGAATAGCCCAGGACAGGAGAGATACCACAACTGTTTGGCACACATTTGGTCAAAGGATCGACTTCAATTGTCTCTTTGACGATTTGTAGTGTGGTGGTAAGAATGACAAGGCGAACTGATGATGCCGGCTAAACGTCTGGAAACGTAGCAAGCCCATGGTCCGACTTAAAATTACCATGCTTACTATGGACTCCGGACTAGATAGGTCTTGTAAATATGACCAACTTGCGAAAGCTAGGTCAAACAACTACTGCCTTTATTTGAGTTTATTTGGATCAGGCCATTTTGCATCAGCTTAGTTGGATTTTTTCTTTTGGCGGTTTATTCTGTTTATTTATCATTGCCTATTATGGTTTACTTATTAAATTCTGACTTCTATGAACGCTGATTTTTGCTACATTCTTCTGTTTTTGCAACTAAATATTTCTATTGTTGGGAGGACTTTCATTTCATATGAAAGTCCCCCAACAATATTATCTTAGAAGATTCATCAAAACCCAGTTTCTCTTCGTATCCACATGTCTAAAAATTGATACAAATCTAATATGAATTGTGCTAGAATCACAGTTTGCTTGTATCAACTTCAATCATTTTCGTTTGCTGAAGTTTTTAAATAATATTTATTTGGGGATTTTTTTAAATATTTTCAGTTAATCATAATTGTGATTTTCTAACCCTTCCGTAGAGCTACCTTGCGCTTAATGCTTTTATGATTGTTGCGGCTGAAAAACAGCCCAATAAATGCCAATAAAAATTCGCTGACTATTCTATTGGATGTATGTTAACTGACCTTTACTTTGTTATTGATGATTTTTCACTTCGAAGTTATCCGTGTATCCTGTTTCAGTATGAAGATCCTCAATTGACCTATTGTTGCTTTAAATGCTGATAACTGCTATACCTCAATTTGTCGATGATTTTTCTACCTTATTTCTGCCTAATAAACTGAAATGTGACCTTTCCTTTATATCACCAGCCTCCTGTTTGGATTAAAACCTATAAAATGCGGGTACAAGCACATTACTTTCTCATCACTCAGCACTACTACCAGTAGTTTGCAAGGCAGACATGAGTTTTTTGACCAAACGAGCCAAATCTACTTATTTAGTGTTGGTTCGACATTGTTTTCGCAACTTGGTCGGAGCGTCAAGAAGAGCTTGTGGAATGTACCTATTTGCGTGTCCTCTGCCATAGTATTAGTGATTTCTAGCATTGGAACCGTTTCGACGGCATCGTCAGTGAGAGGCGCCATCGTGAGCACAGAGTTACAACTTATCAAAGTGACAAATAAAGGCAATCCTTTTGACCAATTTTCTATTCAATCGTTGTGGCATCACTTCTCGCCTCTATTTTTTTTCTACCTTCTAGTACCGCATCTTTTTCTCTCAACCCCACTTCATATGGTCCATTCACTTATTCACACAATTCTATGCTCTCGTTTCTTCAAATGTCGCCTAAGAATCTGCTGCTACAAATGGTTTTAGTGGAGCGTAATCATCACCATCGGTAAAAGATGCCGTTTGCAGGGCTCCTGGCCTACATTCTGCCAGGAGTGTTGCCACAACGGTTGAACACAAAATTGGTCAAAGGGATTGCCTTCACTTGTCACTTTGATAAGCTGTAACTCTGTATTCACGATGGTGTTTCTCACTGACAATGCCGACTAAGTTCTGGCGAAACGTTTAGGAATGTACCCAGCAAATGGTCCAATGCTGGAAATCACGAACACTATGGCAGAGGACATGTGACTAGGTACGTTCCACAAAGTCACCCTGACGCTCCGACCAAGTTGCAAAAACAACACTATAAAGTTAAAGGAGACTGCGACCAAACAGAAGGCCACACCATCTTGGTCTTCATATCTATGATCTATTTACATATTTAGTTGCGATTTATCAATAGAGCAAGCGTATCCTCAGTGAAATCAATACCATTACAAAAGTGATTTTTTTAATGTCACTTAATGAAGGTCTTCCTTACTTCATCCTGGAAAGACCTGTTCTAAATTTTCGGAATACCACCCTTTAACTAGATCCTCATTTGGAAAAAAACATTACTACACATTTTAATTGTAAATACTTTGGCTTTATTGATCTATCTTTAGTTTAAGATGAAAACTCTTATCATTCAGTCTGATTGCATTATAATGGAGTATTATCTAGCATTCATGCACGTAAATATGACTCCAATGGCAAGGGTTATAAAACTATTATGTACCCTGAATGACGACGCGAAAGTCTAATTGACTTATTAAATCTGACTTTCTAAAATCTTTATTCTGGTCAATCCATTATCATTATCTCAAATATCTTTTGATTCTTTCTCTCACTGCTGCTATGTATTTTCCTAGAATTTCCAATCCACCAGGTGACCCAGAATGGAAT